AAAAACACGCACAAATTACTAAAGTTTTTTTTTTTTTGTACTGTTGTAACCATTAAACAATCTCCCCTTCAGTTGAACCATATAAATGGAGACACTTTGTTGATGTTACCATTATAAAATAACTTATAATTAAGTTTTGGCAAAGATCAATGTAATTTTCACAGGTGGTGGAGCGTTGTTGTTGTTGTTGTTGTTGTCAGCAGCTGCTGAAAGTAACTAAAAAAGTTATTTTTAATGTAACTTAGTTACTTTCTAAATCAAATAATCAGTAATCTAACTAAGTTACTTTTTCAAGGAGTAATCAAGTAATCCGATTAAAGTTACTTTTTCAAAGTAACGATGCCATCACTGTCTTCTGCATAAAGTAATGCACAAAACTGAACATTTGAGTTTCATTTCACATTTCTGATACCATGAAATGTGACTAGAGATTAGTAGAAGGATTTACCCGGGTAATTTTCTGCTGCTTCTCTTCCTCTACTGCTAGAAAACTAGTGCAGTAGATGGGAACAACAACCTTCTGCAATGCCGCCAACAAATCCTTCTGCTGCTTCCGCTGGCTGGGATAAAAAATTTTTAAAAAAAAACACACTAATTATGCTGCAATACACAAAAAATATTCAAAGATTCTAAATCAACAATACTGCTTCTTTTTAAATTCAATAAACTTTTTTTAAATTATATCTGAATATAGCCATTCATGACAAATTTCTCGCTTGCATAATAACAATACAAATTATATACCAGTGATGAAGAACGTCATTGGTTAAATAGATGAGGTGTAGGCGGAGCTCAAAATGTGCGCTGTCAACAGTGATGCGATTACGAAGGTGTGATGCCATCAGTTCACAGTGCTGTGGCCCCTTAGCATTGTTGAACATCCAGTTTTTACCAGCCTGAAAGGAAGACCACTTTAATCGTCAGATAGAAAACTTTGTTTTAGATATCTGAATAGCTTTTGATCACATCGTGTTTACAGAGATGGCATCTTTAGTGCATGTGTCGATAATGGGCTGCAGCAGGTTGTCGAACTCCGTGATGTCCAACTGAGTTTCTACCAGAAGCTTCTGGATCTGCTGCTCCATTGCCAGGGTGATGGCAGCCGTCACTTGCTCCTACATGAAAAACAAAACAATATTTTGTATAATTCAACTGAAATGTATTGAGCCGTAACAATATCAAACTCAAGATTGAGTTTACAGGAACAAGTTGGGATTTTAATATTACATTTAACAAAATTTCATAGATCAAATTTATGCTGCAAAGACACCTTTACTCTAGATTTGTATTGATTTTGCAACAAACTCAATAAACTGACGTCTTTTTTCTGATTTCTTTTTATCTCTTCAGACCAGTGACTGTTTTACTGTCTGTCATTTTGACTCGAGGCATAAAAAAACCCGCTGTTGTATCCTATTTTTCAATGATTTTTAAATAATATTGACATAGGCTATTGAGTTGCATTTAATATTTATCCAGCTTAATATTTAAGTTAAACAAAGAATCTGGATCCCATCCAGAGGTCGCATTAACGGAATATTTCCTGTATTTCACTAGTTATTTTTGTAAACGACAGGAAAATTTAAAGCCCGTCGGTCATTTGACAGGTTATAATTAACACCCTTGATTGGCGCACATGCGAGGACTTTACACAAAGAGTTAATCACAGAGGCAACTAAAATCAATCAATAAAAGATCCTTTCTGAATATCATCTCA